GTTTGAATTGCCGCTCGCCTTGGGCCGCCTTCAGGCACGAAACGTAGTCCAGGGAGATCGCCGTTGTTAGAAAATACCAGCTTTGCCGTGCGCCTCGCCTGTTCAGGTGGCAGTAACAAGGGGCGAGACGGCGTCGCCTTGTCGATGACGTGGTGATTGCTGCCGTTTGGTGCCAGAACCTGCTGGATCTGTCGGACCAACGTCTGAACAGATGATGTTCTTCTTCCTGCGCTGATCAAGACAGCTTCCTCAAAGGCTTCAGACGCCCCTGCGATATCCTTCAGACTGTACAGCATTGTCCCTTTGGCATGGACTAATGCGAGGATGCGGCCATTTTCGGTACCTGGAATAGCATAACCGCTCGAACCAAAGCCAGGCTGGGTTCGGCTTTCGTCGAAAAGGCTAGCCGCCAAGCTGGAAGCGGCATCTCTTTGGGCGGCGGTAGTGTCATAGCCAGTCTCTCCTGTTGATCCCTTTGGTAGCCTGAGAGACTTTTGAACAAAATCGATGACATCAACCGCGGCGACGCTTTTCTTTTTATACAGCAGACCGACCAAATGTTCTACGGCTTCAAGGTATTGCGGTCGAGTTTTGATCGCCTTCAACCAGCATTTCTCCGCCTCATCTTGTCTGTTCAGGCAGTACAAAGTCGCCGCCTGATTCGACACTGCTTCAACATGACTATATGAAGAGTTAGTAAGGGTAAGTTCGTAATCCCATAACAATGAAAGCCAGACGCAAGACAAAGATGGTGGGATGAAGACTTACTTCGGCTCTAGTGAAGTGATTCGGGTAAACCATTCTAAGGCTTCCTCGAAGTGTTCCAGGCCGTAGTGCAAGCAGCCTCCCAGTAGAACACCATCGATCCATTTCCACTCGGAATGCTCACATAGACGGGTGAGAAGCTCTAGGGAACTTTTGGCATTCGCAAGAGGTGAGCCTCTCGAGATCTGATTCGGATACGAAGATCCGCTGGAGTTCGTGACCGGGAAATTGCCATGCCGGAAATCCGTAACCCCGTCCCAGCCAGCATGCTGCGTTGTGAGTGGCGATTTGACTCCCAAGGGACCGAATAGCATGCTGTCTTGGTTGTTTCTGTGGCTTGCGTTGGCCATCATAGCGGCATCTCCCGGGAAAAAGAGGTCCGGGGCCAAGGTGACGATGGGCTGTTTAGGTGGCTTGGGATATACCACCATTCTCGAGGTAGTGCTCAGAGCTGAGCCAGGCCTCAACTGCTGAGTTTTGCGCCCGTGATGCAAGAGTGCGAGTAAGTCGACATAACTTCGGTGCGCTTGAGCCAGCGCCTTTTCTCTGAATGCGGAAGAATGTGTCTTGTTCATAGAATCAACAGTGCTGATAGCTTGGTGCGGTTCTAGCGTAAGAGCCTCTAAATGAGTTTGCGCAGGTTGCAAAAAGCCAGACCCGTATGCTGAGAGGTGAGCGTAAGGATCCTGTGGAGTGAAGTGGGCAGACGGTCCTATAATCTGATTCTGCACCTTGGAGTAACGATGGTCGTAAATCGATGGTGACGGAGACGGGGTATGGTGCATCGGCGGGCCGACATAACTCTGCTCTTGCTGATGCGTCGGAAACCACGAGTTGGCTACATGTAGTAGTCCCGGGATACTGGCTCCGGTGTTCCCAGAAGGGAGGGTCCCGGGGAAGTATGAGTTGGTATTGAACAGCGAAGGCCGCGAATGAAGCTGAGGAGTAGAGCCAAACAGCGCAGCCGTGTCCGGAGTGTTGAACCCGTATTGCGAAGAGGCCAGAGAGACGGTAGAGTGCATCGACTGGTGGGTCAAGTCCTGTGCAAGTGGCCATAGTTGATATGATGGAGGCGTTATGTTCAAACTACCGCCTGCCTGATCACGGACAGGTAAAGAATTGCGGATCTGGTCGGTGGTCTGATGAGGGCGGTTCGTATTATACGCCATTTGAACCGCCGGGAGCGCCATCTGCTTCAGGGGCGGAGGCCTCGAGGCGTATTGAGAACCATCGTAGCCAGCTTCAATAGTGCCATTCGGCGTTTTACGTCGCAACTGATGTTCCGGTCCGTCAAGAAAATGCGACTGGCCTGCGGCCGTCGTGCGGCGCTGTATCGGTTGATTTGGGTGTGAAGAAGTCCGAATTGGAAAGGATCGTGGCGTCTTGCCGTCAGGGAAAAGAGCATTCGCCGAGCCGGCTGGCGGGCAGCGTAAGTTCTGATTGAACGTATACGTGCTGAAGTGAGGAAGCAGATGGTAGTTATGTTGTTGCGGTGGGTAGTCTTCTGGCTGGCGGTGCTGGAGGTGGTGCTGCTGTTGTTGTGGCTGCTGGAAGGGCGGGAGGGGATCGAAGTTTGGCGCCTGTGGCACCGTATGGTGCATCTGAACTAGAGGCAACATGGGTTATGTGATGAAGACGACGAGGCGCTTCTGGGTATCATGGAGCGGAGCACGGAACGAGCGAGCTCAGCACGAAGGAGAGTGCTGCGAGTTCCAGGCTGGATATATCGATCCGGGAACCAGTTGTCATTGCCTGCTGGCTAAAGCATGGCTGACAGGCCGGCTGACGGGCATGGCCTCCGGGACGCCTCGAGCGAACGGCTGTGCCAATGCCCGATAGCAATGCCACCTGCCCTGCGGCCTTTCCAAGCCTAGGGACCTGGCTCTCTTGTGGTTCAAGTTCGATGAAGCGCGACGGAGGGCAATGTCGAGAAAGTATCGTCTTTCCCCCTCCGACAGAGGTTCGTCGTTACGTCGTAAAGTTAGCGCCGGGTTCGTCGGTCGGGGCAATGCGAGGCTGGGGGGCCTAATAGAGGAATGGTAACGTTAGAGACGTTCGGCCTGACCGGCAAGTTCAGCGACAAAGATCGCAGGAGGAGGGGTTGAAGCGGTCGATCGAGGGATCCTCTATTGGCGAGAAGAATACGAAAGCAACGTGGAGCGAGATACAATGCGACTATTGCGAGGTCTGCAGCGGCAGTAATAGTAGTAGCAGTAACGATAACTGTGGCGGTAGCCGCGACGGGAGCAGGAATGACAGCTATAGCTTGCAGCCGTGGCCGTGGCTACAGGTTTGGTTGTGGTCGGAAGATGCAATGCGATTCAGCCCGGTTTAGCCCCAGTTGGGTGGTGGTGGTGGTGGTGGTGGTGGTGGTGGTGGTAGTGGTAGCCGTAGCACGGCAGCCGTTGGGAGAAGAAAGAAGCGCAGGTCAAATAGGTATGGCGATCATCCAGGCGGACCACTCAGGCAGTCACAGCAGTCACAGCAGTGTGATAAGAAGTCAGAAGTTGGAGGCCAGACTATTGGAATGGGTATCAGCCCGATATAGCGAGTTAAGCTGGAGGCTGCCCTGTGGCCTAGATTTAATCGATTCGTCTCGAGGATCTGTCAAGAAGTCTCCAGTATCCCTCCCAGCTTATGGCCTCCAGCCTGACGCGGAGGTACGTATCCGAGAGCAGAGCATACCTTACAGCGTCAGGGAAAGGTCAGCGCACTATCCCGTACGAGTACTAGACACTAATCTGCAAAGTATTGTGTATGCGCAGACCATGGGCATGGGGTGCCTAGTATTGGGGGTTTGGCTGCTCAAAGTCGGATGTCGTGACTGGGGTGGGTGTGATGAGGTGAGGAAAGGTACCTTGAGGCTTGACGCATGATAGGTGACGGGGCGGGCGGGGTGGGGGGTCACAACTGGGGCGTGCTCCGTACTTCTCAAAAGCGGTCAGACGAGGTGAGCAACGAAGGAGCTACGGATACAAGACAGCAGGCAGCGGCTGGCAGCATCTCATAGGGATTTGGAACAACGGGATGCAAAGATGGAGGGGATGGTAAATGTCTCGGGGGACGGCGGTATTGTAATCCCCAGCCGTAGTCGAGAAAGGCGATTATACACCTCACGGTACAGGTGCGGATACAAAAGTATGTTTCGCAATTACCTGTTAAAGCACAAAACGGGAATGCCGTAACAAAACTTGGCAGTAAAGCGCGCGGCCGCTTGGGGAGGGTTGCTTAAGCAGAGAAGTTCACAAGGTGACACCAGGCCCTCCCCCGACTTGAAAATGCTCTTGGCCGAGGGCGCGGTGGGAGTGAAATTCCTCGAACAAATGAGCAAGATATGCCTTCTCATACGGGTGCCGTCAGCCGCGCTCATTATCTATTAGACGTAAAGTAATGAGAAACGGCGGGCAACAACACCTAGTAAATCCAACAACGGAAGCAACCCGACCTTTTATCAATCTTAAACGCCGGCCGGTGAGGTGACAAGCCTGGATCCATGCATTAGTGCCAAACACGTTGGTTTCGCCGCACTGCCCAAGACAATGCTAATTTTACCAACCATACGTAACAAATTCACAATACCGGATAAAATAATCCTCCTTCCTCACTCAACTTCCTCTACGCATCTTGCGCAAGAACCAAAGGTCCCCTCGTCCGTGATACCATGACCTAATTGCACAGTCTGAATCATTTAAGCATCAGGTCACGTATTTAGGATATAGTCACAGGACACAACTAAGCACACAGACATTCAGGTCCACCACCGAAGCCTGCAAGCCACCGAACGTCATTTGTATCTACCTTACAGGTGTCAGACCACACATGTGACCGGTTCTTCGAGGTCGCGTACTCTCCCGAACCATTGCCAAATGCTGCAATTACATCATTGTTAACCATGCCAGTCGGCGTGCGGAGTGCAATACATTGTTATGGACATGACCCTGCTGCTGAGAGGCTCCAACCTGTCTTGAGACCAGAAACTAGATATGCCATGGCACATCCGGAACTCTGAGCAGAAATGCCCACACCAATTCGCAGACCCTGACATCACAGCGCAATGAGGTAATTCGCGGCGAGCAAAATAGCGACAACCATCTTTGGAAACTTTGTCATTTGGTCATTTGGCAATTCTTTTTTTCTTTGCCCAAGGTTCTCCCTTTTGGGTAGTTCCCTTAATGCAGAACCATTCCTAAACTCCAGAAGTCATGCGAGAGTGTCCGTCCAGCTATTGACCTCCTTTATTCCTCGGGGACTGTTCATCTTGTTAGCCAGCTACTCCAACATATGACTGTGATCATTCTCCAAGTTTGGAACGTAAATGGTCGGATGTTTGGTACTTACTGTCAATCTCACCAGCGTCGATGGCATCGGTGATGGCCTTGGGGCTCTTGCCGTCAACCTGGCATCCAACACTGTTTGCCGTTCCAAGAATCTCCTTAACACCTCCCTCCAATGTCTTGGAGAAAGACTTGTGGCGCATGGTTCTCGCAATCTCAATGATCTCCTCCAGGGGAACAGACTTGTTGTGCTTGATGTTCTTCTCCTTCTTGCGGTCGCGAGGGGGCTCCTTGAGGGCGCGGATAATGAGGGAAGAGGCAGTAGGGACAACGGAGACAGCGGCTTGACGGTTCTGGATGGTGAGCTTAACCGTCACGCGGAGGCCCTTCTATAATTCCAATCATGTCAGTCCTGTTCTAGCTCGCTTGCGGGGGTGTTAAAAGTTAAGGGTGGAGGAATTGTCATACCCAGTCGCCAGTGGCCTTCGCGATATCTTCACCAACTTTCTTGGGAGACAGACCGAGAGGACCGATCTTGGGGGCCAAGGCAGAGGAGGCACCAACCTCACCTCCGGTGGCCAGGAGGTGGCTGTATTCGCGAATTGTGTTAGAAAAACATAAAAAAAACCTCCTTCCTCGTCGCCGCAAATATTCTTAGTTATAGGGAAGGCGCGACGTACATGACCTTGACTTCGTTGGGATCGAATTTGGGAGCTGTGGTATACTGTTAGTTTTCTTGTCGTCGCTTGTTCGGCCTCATGGCAGTCGAGAGGGTCACTTACGCATCGTGTCTGCTCTCGGATCTGGGTCTGATGGGAAAGTTGGTGTCGAAAGATGGAGTTGAGGTCGAGTTGGACGGGGGAAAATGTTGATTAGTTCTGTGCGCCTTCTCGCAGCCCTAGGCAAAAAAGACTAAGATACTACGCCACAATTCATGTGGCTGAGCGGAGAAAATCGGTGCACAAAAGCCTGGCCAATAACCTTTTTCGCACTCCACTATCCACGGAGGGTCTTTTCGCCAAAGAAAGCCGCAACTATCACGTGGTTTGTTCGCACCTACCCAAAGTGCCCTTGATTGATAATATTACCTGCCTAGGTACCTATCTGATCTTCTTATCAGCTCTCGCTACGGATAGACTAAGCCACATTCGCTACCTGCCCACGACTACCTCAACTCTAGCCACACGTCGGAAACGCAACTTTGGCGAAGTCCATGCGGAGTGCGCCTCAGCGATTGCGGTACTGCCCTAGAAGTATTTGGGTACGGGTACAGGTGCCCACCTGATGTACTCCGTGGATTACCTTGCCTCCCTACCTAGGTACGCTCCCACTCCGTACCTACCTTAGTAGGGAATCAATCGTCTTGGTGGGGGCGGGGTTCTTCAGCTACCATACATCCCCACTCTGTCACGATTCACATGTACCAGGTCAAACAAAGTTGAGTCGGGTACATAGGTCTCCTGAAATACCTTGGCTCGGGTAGAGTCTCAACATCGTTCAACTTATTGTCTCATTTGCCTTGCTCTCATGATTCAATGTGATAAATTTCACGGACCGCAAGGTGCATTGGCCGCATTGGCCGCGTAAGTGAAATCTTACACGGAATTCTTCAGTGTTCATTGGCATTTGTCTTCATAACTACGGCAAAGTCTGAAGCCTTATATGCTAGAGACCTTCAGACTCCGAGTTGCGATTGTGCTCTACATCCCCCATCTTGTGGATTTGTCGTCTCTTGGTACGACGAAGACGACCACCCCGTCTTTGCTGGCACCGATATCCTCCTTCAGCCCATGACGATACGCAACTGATTTAGTTTGTGCCACTTACGGCCAGCCTAATACCCAGAGTTAGCAAGTCCAATAGGATAGGATAAATATTGAGTAATTCCTTACTTCATGAGATGGTCCATGAAGGTTTGCAGAGACACATCATCAGTGAAGATAGTCTGGGCGTTTTGCGCACCCACACCGCCATAAGCTCCGGTAGTGTGGGTGGTCGACGGGTTGAGCTTCGACAGAAGGAATCTGGCTTGAGAACCTCCAGCATCACAAACAATGAATCGAGGAAGTGGGAATCTATCGGTGATGAGATCCTACATAATGTTAGCTGACATACTGGGAGCCTGACGGAGGGAGAGAGCTTACTCTTGCGTCTTCCTTGGGCTGCTCGAGCAGAGATGCAAAGTTTTCATAGCCCTCTTGGTCCTGATATCCCGCCTTGCGCCACTCGGCGACCGTCTCCCCGTGGAAAATGAGAATGTGGAAGAAGGTATCGAGAAGAAGGATATGGGTGGGTTGAATAGAAGTCGAGTCCAGCAACACAGGTTGGCCACCCTCCTGATCAAACGTGTACGAGTCTAACGTGGGCTGTATCATGATGAGCGAGTTGCTTACGTCCTCGTGGTTAAGGACATGGCGATAGAAGGCCGTCTCGTCGGGGGAGTTGTTGAAGACCTGTAGGAATTGACTCCTCCGGAGATGGAACATGAACTGCGGGTACAATGTAAAGTTCTTCTCGAGCCGGAAGGAAGATGGATCATCTTTCCGGTAGTCTGCAAAGCGGGAGCAGAGTCTGATAAGCATCCTGTCAACCCAGCGCAAGACATCCGGACCGTCATCAACTTCGGCCTTGAACACTGCAATGCGAGACATCAGGACAGCAGCAGCTTCCTGGTCGAACGATTGTGCAATAGCCGGATCGCCAGCTGGTCCACTGAGGTTTCTGGCAATTGTCGTAACCCTCAGATGGAATTGACCGGACGAGTGTTGGTAGTAGGTGAGGAATTGGATCATGCCCTTCTGTGGCGTTTGCTGATGCTGCGTAGGGCCTCCCTGACTTGCAATCTCAAAGTATACGCCGTAACTTGCGTTGGGGTCGATGCCGCACATCTTCCATGAGCATGTGTTGCCTATGCCACATTCCGTCTCTCCAACTGATGTCGATTTCTTGTTAAGAGAAATGGCGTGGCCTATCAGTCCAGTAACCTTTAACTCTTTAGTGGTGAGTACTTCGAGCGTAGCATTGAAGCCCATGAGCAAGTTGTCGTCACCATCCTTTTCGAACACGCGAATGAACGACTGCCTGAACATAGAGGAAGTAAAACTGTCGGTCAAAATCATGTGGCCACCGGTGGAATTGCAGAGGCCCTTCATCTCTAAGAGACCGACTTGATCAAGACAACCCGCGAATATGTCAATGATGTGGCCATTATGAGCGGTCCTCTTGGCCAGGATGTCATAGAACTAGGGGCTAGCGTCAGCTTTTCCTATACAGAGGAAACCTCATCTAAGTACCGACCTTGAGTGCCTTCTTGTAGTACTTGATGTTGTCACGGTCAATGTCGTGGTGCGATCGGATGGGCTCTCTCAGTTCCGGGCCAACTACCATGCCGGGTCCCTCTGTCGCCGGTCCACCAGCGAAGAGCATGATGCGGCCACCGGCGTGTTGGAATGAAGACTCAAGGAGTCCTACTGCGACACTGAGAGCAACGCCGGAGCAGCGCAGACTCCTGCGGTCGTTGGCTACGGGCCATGGGTCTTTCTGAAGCTGCTCCAAAGCTTTCGTCAGCTGAAACTCGGCCTGCTGAACGGGTAGCAGAAATCTCGACGCAGGGCCTGCGGGCATAGGCCTTCCAGGCTGCTGCTGGGGCATGCCGGGTCGCATTGCTGGGGAGAGCAAGCCGAGCATCTCCTGCACCTGCTTCGCGGAGTAGTCTTTGCTCCCGCGGAACACATAGGATTTCGCGCATTCAGTGTAGCCGATTTCGTGAACTTGTGCCTTGAGAAGTGGTCAGCAAGGAGGGTCATGGGGTTCCCAATGAATACGCCACCTACCATCGTGCCATATGTGATTAAGCCAACGAGTGCATTTTCGGGCAGCAGGCTCAGGCTCATGACCAATGACTCCTTGAGCGCAGCCAGGCTATCATCCTCTTGGCAGGTGTCGACAACATAGAGGAAGATGGGAGGGCTTGGCGCCGGCCGCGAGAGCCGATACTCGATCGTAGTGTTGGAGGGATGAAGTTCGGGGGGGATGGCATTGGCGGTGATATCTTTGTAATGGGGCGGAAGAGGGTTCCGCGATAGGCAGAACGGACAAATCCAAAGACGGGCTCTTACGTCCACAGAGCTAGCCCAGGTCAGGCTTGAAGATTCCAATGACTCAAATCGCTTAACTCACCAGAAAGGATTGAGGACGGAGCGACAAGGTTGCTTGCAAGTCACCGGTTCGAATTGGAGGAGTGGTGTGTCGGGCTTTTCTTTGAGAGGAGTGTAGTTGGCCCCAATCGGCACGACCAAGCGCGATGCTTCCTGTATGAGCACAGGTCAGAAGACGTAGAAAGACACTTTTCCAAGAACAACTGACCATACGAGAGCTAGGAAACACGTTCCAACTCAGGCGAACTCCATCACGGTCCTCGACCTCGCTCCATTGCTCCTTAAGAGCTTCGTAGTCCATCGTTGTTCAAATGCTCTGCTACGGTCGATATTCAGGTGGTGCGGCTTCGGCGTGAATCCTGTAAAATGTGGTCAGTGGCGGATATTTGACCAGGAATAGCGGTACATTCAGTTCATACTTAGATTGCCAGCAGATGGTTTGCGAGTGCCGCGAGGGTTGCTGCGTTAAATAGAGGATAGGACGGAGAAGGTAGCTTGGTATGGCCACGGCACAGTTAACAAACAACGGCGGCTTTGAGCTGTGGCCTACCGGCGGAGGCAATGTGGCAGGAACAAGCTGTAGTGGGGCTACCAAGGTACCTGCCAGTGACCTACTAGTACTAGATCCATTGATCTCTAGCGCGGGGCTGCGGCTACGTATAAAGAGGTGCACCGCAAGGGTATATAGCCAGGACGGCTATAGAGGTATAGCGAAGCATTATAGTATACTAATCTATACCTAGCGAGTATAGAGCTTATGTAATTTAAAAAATTAAGAGTCTTATTAAATTAAATATATTAATTTTTATATTTTAAAACTAAGTAATATATTTTAATAAGGTATTTATTTTAATATTTTATTTTTATTAGCTACTTAGGCGGTTCTTGATATTATTTATTTAATTTTATATTCTATTTTTATTAGTTACTTAGGCAGTTCTTAATATCGATTATATAATATTAATATCCCTTTAGGGTCCGGTCCGCCTTATTAAGGGCTATTTTTACTTTTATAAATAAGTATTATAACTTAATATATATAATAAGGCTAGGGCCTCGCCCTATAGGACCTATAGTAGCTACTATACTATATATATAAAAATATAAACTTAAAATAACTCCTCTTAAAATAAAAGAACTATAAATAAGTTACATAACTACGATTATATAATAAAATAAGGAACGGATATTTATAAATAAATAGAACGAATAATTATAAATAAGTAAAATAAATAACCGTTTAATAAATAATTAAATAATAATAAATAAGAATATTATAAAAAATATATTTAAAAACGAGACTTATATATAATATAAATTTAAGCTAAGTTTAAAAATAAACTTTTTATAACTTTTTTAATAATTAACTTAATATTAAATTTTATAATTATTTTTAACTATTTTTATTAAAAACCCTTTTTAATAAAACTATAATTAATTACTAAAGCTTTACTTTTTTTACGATTTATAAATATAACTTTAAAAAAGCTATTTATAATTATAATACTATTTACTTAGTATTTATAGCCTTAATTTTTATTAATATACTTACTATAACTAGCTAGTTATAATACTTTAATTACTCCTATTTAGTAAGTTTATCTTATAAAAAACTAACTAAATAATATA